TTATAGCCCTTCAAAGTTTAATTAAATTTTGAGCCGGTCCTGGCTATTGTTATCAAAAAAATAACCATAAAAATAAAAATAACAAAATAAACAATGCAAAATGTCATCTAGCTATGACCCTAAACCACAACAAATTTGTTGTGGTTTAGGTCTATGACCACAAACATAACCATTTAAACCAAAATGACACATTTTTGACAATAATTGAGGCCCAAAAAAAAACTTAAGTAAATAATGACATTATTCATTGCTAAATGTCATTTTGATTTAAATGGTTATGTTTTATATATATTTTTATTCCCGACATATAAAGTTTTACTAAAGTATATTTATCGTTATTATTTCGACTATTTAGAGGTAATAAACAATATATTCACTACAAATAAAAGTATTAGGTAAACAGTTTATTTGTCCCATTTTTTTCTCAGTGTACCAAAAATTGCAGATACAGCCTGTATCTGCAATTTTTGGTAGTAAAACAGAAAATATATAATTAATTTTGGTTGCCTCTTTATCCACCATGGTAATTCTATAAAGTTAATATTTTGTCGTATTGCATTTAATTTAATTTTTTAAAAATTGTTAAATTTTAACTATTTTTAACAAATAATGTTTGCATAACTTTCAAACCAAATAAACATAGAATTAAAATATAACAAATAACATTGTTAATTTAGCAAATATTAACATTTGGAAAAGCGTTTAATAGATGGCGCTACAACCGCATTTTATTTCGTGCGCATGTTCAAAATCAACGAATTATATAAATATTTTAAACAAAAAATACTTATAAGTATAAATACGTTTAGGTTTTTAGGATTTTTATTTTTTTTTAAGATGAAATATTTAAAAAATTAAATATTTCTTTAATTTATTGGTTTAAACTTTTAAAAGAGTGAGGTGAGCCTTGGGCCCCCTGACCGTCTGGGCCCCCCCGCGGTGCGGGGTCTGCGGGGGTGCTTATTACGCCACTGGTTACTGCCTGTTTCCATAGTAGGTCAGTATAGTATTTTCAGGTCTGTTATTTTAAAAGTAATATCTGGATCCAAGAGATGACCAGAGATAACATATTCAAGGCAAATTCATTTAATGCCTTTTCTCCTTAAAATGCATTTATCATTAATTAGAATAAAATTAGAATATATTTAGAATGATTCACTTCATTATTTAATTATTTGTATGTCAAAGGTAAGTAAAATTTAATGACTATTTGATTTAAAAGAAATATAAAAATTAATATAAGATATTAAATTGTTATTTAAGTAATATATAATAAATAATTAATTAAAAAAACGGTATAATAAATTGGGATTCACCCTTACCTTGCGCTAAGGTACGTATGGCTGAGCGCTCCACACTCTGCGCCCTCTATCTCAAAAACGATTAGACGTTTAAAAAAATGTTTAAAACAAAATTTGTAGAGAATTTTATTCTCTACAACTTTCATAATAAATGCAAATAGGAGGCAGATAAAACGAGATATTTAAAAAAAGTTGATTTTTACGACCTTTGACCTTGAATATCTAAGGCCGCTCACAGGTGGCATATGTGACTTTTAAGACAACATTTGTAATGCTAAAATAAAGGTTTGTACAAAAATTCAGCTTATTCCGTTAGATTCCATTAAATTAAATGCCATTTTTTAATTTCCAAAGAATCTTAAAATATAATCATTGATTAATAACTTACTCCTTCACTCAACGATATAATTCTAAACAAACGGGTTAAAAGGATACCTGACGAAGCTAAACCATTGCAAATTAACGTCATTATTGGCATTTAATACTGTCGATGTTCATGTTGACATGGTTTGCAGGGATTAACTACGTTACGTCACGTAAACCTTATACAAATATTCATTTAAATTTTCGGATAAAATTTCAATTTGTGACATCACTAGGGGGTGGCACGTTTTGTGACAACAAGGGAGGGAGGTCGAAAAAGCTCGAAAATCCTGTGACGGAATATGTAAACGGCATCTAAGATTAAAGTTCTTTCAAAACGAACTATTTGGTTTAAGGGGAATTCGTTTTAATAAAAAAAATTATTTTTCCCGGTTAAGTAAAATTTAAGAAAAAGTAAAATAATTAAATTAAAAATATTTTTTTTTCTTAAGAACATTCTATGTATACAGGATGTTTCACATTCGTGGTCCATTAGGGAACGAAAAAAGATATCGATTTAAAATTTTAAAAGCGTTTATAATTTAAGTCTATTTTTCTAAAATATTTTGAATAGAATGCCACTTCCGGTTTAGCTTTGTTATTTCAAATATATTTATATAGTATTACATTTTTAAATTTTGCTTAAAATTCTGAGAAAAATTACTATACCATGTCCTATACCTAAAGGGAATAGTTTTCGAGCTATTGATTTTTTTCTTTAAAATTTAAGAAATACAAATCAATTAAAATAGTAAGGGATGCAGTGAATATTTTCGGTACTTATTTTCCCAGTCGGCAAACACCGATACAATTATTGGGTTTGTTATTCTGAGCAAAATTTATATAAATTTTTTAGGGGGGGTTTTCCGATGGGTTAAGGCGGAAAATGCGTTATAAAGTACAAATATATTGCACTTTTTTTTCAGTGATAAAAATAATTCCATTAGTGAGAGATATAGTGAACTTAAGAAAAAAAATAGTCTGGCTAATCTGTGAGTATGGGTAATATGTCTGGCAGGTGGAAAAATTATCAAAACCATTGCCCTTATTTTCGCAGTCCTAAAAATTTTTTGAGATGATAGTTTATATTATAATTACAGCTGCAAATATAGGCTAATGTGGAACACTCCGAAAGCCTTGCCAGACTCGTCCAACCCTCCACAGGCGCGCTAAATTCGGCATGTTCAATTATACAGGCGATTGTTGTCATCTCTACATGTTTTTACTTTTCATAATGTATGATAAGAAAATAATTTGTGTAAAGCAAAATTTAAATATGGCTAAAAAAAAATGTCAGCCCGTCCGCCACCAAAAAACTTCTGGCGGGGCTTTCGTGATTGTAAATAACAGCCAGACGTGTATTTTCTACGAAATTATAGTATTATTTATCATGTGACAAATTTTCAAATCCGGGAAAATAAGAGCAAAATTTTTGTAATTCTTACGATTTTCAAGATGCCGCCAGAACAATTTGCCAATTTCATAAATCAGCCAGACTTAATTTTGATTATAGTTTATGACAGTACCAAATAATGGGTTAAATTTTAAGCATGGGAAAATAAGGGCTACGTATTTCAAAATCCGGTCAAATTTTTGCTTCCGCAAATTTTCAGCCAGACTGACTTTCCTTCACTTGGGATGTGCCAGACTGTTATTTCCATTAATAAAATGACTCACTTTAATTAATGTGAAATATTTATGACTGGGAAAATAAGTGGACTTGACTTTTTGGCTCATCTAGTGAACCCATCCGAAAATTTTAGCCAGACACACAAATTGTCGTTTTGTGTCACCATTTGAACAAATTTAATGACATTCACAAACTGGGAAAATAAGAAGATAAAAATCTTCACTGCCTCCCGGACTAAAAATAGCCTAGGTGGAATTTTTCAATTCTTAAAATATTTAAATGATTTCTTGTGAATTCTTTAAACCCAGAAATCCCAGGGCAAATTAAACTTAAAATGTTAATAACATTTTTATTTCAAACGTACTTTTTTACATAATTAAATAGTAAATTAAAAACCTCTCAATTTCCTACACCTAAAGTCAGAGATTAAATTTTGTATGACAGATTACGTGGTAACCATAGATACCGTCAACTCACCCGTTACAGGTTTTTTGACACAAAATAATGTTTAAAATTTTAGAAATTTTTAAATATCTCTGAAATTATTAACTATATGTATAGGGAATAGTAACATCAATCGAAATGTTTTTTAATTTACTATTTGAGTATGTCAAAACATACCGGATGTTACATTTAAATTATTAAAGTTATCCTTTAAAGTTAGCCTAATTTTCCCTGGGTTTTTCAGGTAATTTATTAAAAAATGTTAAATAATTGACATAGAATCTTTTAACCAATGTTTTAAGATTCCAAAAATTCCACCGTCATATCCGCAAACCTAATAACAAAAAGTTTTAGGTTATTTATTATTAATAACTCTATCTTTTTTTGTTCCCCAGAAACTTCTAATGGACCACGAATGTGAAACACCCTGTATATATGGGCTAACATAAATTAACAATTTAACATGTTATTAACTAGTAAATTAAAACGAGAAATTTGTGGAGGGCAGAAACTAAGATTTGTATTGAAAAAAATTACTTTGGGTTTTAAACAATAATTTTTTCTTGTTTTAATAGTTTCTAAATTTACTTTTGTACCATGCACTGAAAGAAATTTGTTGCTAAAAGTAAATACAAATTTATACTAAAAATTTTATACTAGTGCTTTACACATTTATACTACTGTTTATTATGAATGTATGTTAAATTTTGTAATACATTTATTGTAAAGAAGATATGTTAGATCTAAATAAAAATAAACTTACCCTTACTATAAAATGTAAACTATAAGTGAATTACAGCAAAAAAATATTGCTAGAAACACCATGGCATTTTTCTTAAAAGTTACAAACATAAATTGTATCAATCTTTAAAATATTTTATGCTGTTTCGGTGAGGCGACAATATGATATGCTAAGATTTAGTATATTATTGTTTAGAATTTACATAATAAATCCACGCCAACCCAGAAGTTCCAGAACTGTTTGGTCAGTTTTAACACATTTATGCTTAAAGAAAATATGTAAAATTTGGTAAAATTTAACACATTTATATTGTTAGGGCAGCAATAGGCTGCTAACCAAACGAATATATTTGTTTTAGCAATGTATGTGGTAGTCCATATATGAAACATAAAATATATTTGCCCTAATTATTTTTTTATTTAACTTTAGTATATATTTCTTTCAGTGTGCCTTTTGAAAAACTATTTTACCAAAACACAACAATTTGGTAAAAAAAGGTACGTACGTGTGCGTGTTTTACCTGTGTAGCTTCTTAGTCCAGCAGGTCCAGATCGGGGACGTGTGCTGGATGTGCTACCAGTACTGGTGGTGCTTGTAACGCTTGGACTTCTGGACATTTCCGATTGCGATCGCTGGCTGTTTCTTCTTCGGCTTCGCCTTTGCTGCGTAGGGTTGCGACACACGCCGGTAGGACATTCTTCGCCCATTGCGCAGCGCCCTTCGCAGATGCTGCGCGACTGGAGCAGCTCCTCGTAGTTGTTTAACATGAGCGCGCACTGCTCCTGGTCTTTGCTGATCAAGGCTCTGCTTGGGTAGCGCTCTTTGAGCCTTCGCCTTTCCTTTGATTAAAATTTAAAATGCTTTAATAAAAAGTTAATATTTTTAAAACTATTTATTTTAATTATTAAAACTTAATAATTTTTAGTTTTAAAAGTTAAGGACTTAAATATAATTATATTTTAATATTTAAGTAATGTTTTATCGTATTTGGTGATTAAAAATTAAAATTAAATTAAATAAGACTAGGGGAGACCGGGGCATAGTGGGGTAGCGTCATTTGACCTGCAAACAATGACAACAGAATACCGACGTGGTGGGGCTGTGATCAACTTGCACTTCTCCATTAACCTTCGTTAGGAGGCGCGCTAAAGTGTCAACATTTTATAATCTAAAGGATAAAAAAACAAAGGCAGTTTTCTTATTTATTTAGATAAATTGGCTTTAAAGCCACACACAATATATTTTTTCTACGGTTTTGAGGTGTATCTTAGGTGTATTATTTTATATTAATAAAACGGCCGAACAGAGAAAAGAGGATCATAGCCATGATTTAGCTACGTCATTTGAGGCAAATCGGGTCTAGTCTACTAGGGCAAAGTGGGGAACATTTATTTGGTACCCCACTATGGCCCATATAGACTGCGCGTCAAAATTAACGCATAACAAGTAAAAAAAATCCAACTCTAAAACGCCTTTACCAATCTTTATAAAATTTTGGATTAAAATACTTATATCTCAGTTTACGTGTTCAAGGGTTTGTAAAAAGGGTTTTATTTCCCGGGGGGAAAACTTTTCTTTTTATGCTTGGCGTCACTTACCTTGCTGACTTTCTAATAAAATCTCGGGCGCCAACTTCAACGGGTTTAAAGTGGTTGAAGTTCCACTATGTGCGAGGGTAGCTTTTAGGGTCAACAGTGGAGATAAAATTCCAGGGTTCCGGGGAGTTTATGAATAAATTGAGTGGTTCGGTTAATACATATATTAAAATAATCCCTCGTATGTACAAAACAATAAATAAAATGGAATAAGACTTTACAAAGAATAATACGAAAATAAAAGTGAAGTTTCTGAAACAAACAAACAAACAGAAAATTAGTTACAACAACTTACGTTATCTTTGGCGGTCGGACGGTCGGGCGGTCGGTCGGTGTCCCGGCTGCTGCAGAAATAATCGTAGAAGTGATCCCTTCGAAGGCGCTGCGCCCGCTTATATGCCCTCTGGCCTCCCTCCTATGGCGGGCTGCGCGATTCTCCAGCATGATGTCAGGATTGACCAATCACGGCTTTGTGGCAAATCTTTTGGTATGACGGTGCTCTCGGTGTCGAGCTCCGCATAAAAAACGCTAAAGGGAATTTCGTAGAAGGGCACAAGTAAACAATCTTGCTACTTTTTGCTGTGCGCTTTAACTATCATACGGGTCATTCCGGTGGTAGTGCTACATATGGGCTATTCCGGGGTTGTTTATGACTTACGTGAATTAAATCATTTAAATCGGGGTTCTGTAACACAGGGTAGGGATAGGGAAAAAGTAACTTCGTTACAGGTTTTCTGAGAAAATATCCTTAAAGCCCTTTTATTTAATAATAAAAAACGCTCGAAAAAAAACTTTTATAGGGATTTTTTTTTAATAAATAAAAAATATCCTGTGAAAGACCGTATTTTTGTTAGTAAACCCTGAAAATGTTGTTCAAATCAAACAAACAGTAACGAAAATACCGCGCTTCAAAGTCGTCAAAAATGACAATTTTTCAGCAAAATAATCAAAAAGGGGTAATTTTACCGACTTTGAAGCGCTGTATCTTTGTTACTGTTCGTTTGATTTGTACAAAATTTTAAGGGTATACTAAAAAAAATACGGTCTTTAACACCATATTTTTGATTTACTTAAAAAAATTCTCTAAAAGTTATTTTTAGAACGTTTTTTTTATTATTTAAGCAAAGGACTTTAAAAATATTTTTTTGAAAAAACCTCGGACACGTAAACTAAAGATTGGTAAAGGCGTTTTAGAGTTGGATTTTTTTACTTATTATGCGTTAATTTTAACGGGCAGTGTAGCTATAAATTCGTTTAGTGCCTCCTGAACCAAACACATTTACGGGTGCAGATTTTCGACTATAGCCGTTGCAGTTAAATCGTCTTGATTAATATAATACCGGCCCAATCAACTGCAAAAACAATGAGACAATAACTTGCAACTTTTTAGATAGGCAGAGAAATCTTAAATCATGATGCAGTTTCCCATTGATAAGCTTATGACATTTAAGTCAGCTTCCCGAACAAGCTCTTTCCTACCTGGTTGCTAAGAAATAAATAGCAGTAGTGTAGAAGATGAGCTCTTCGATCAAGGTCTACGCAACCTGGATGCTCAGTAAAAAAAAATGTGCCAAAAAGATATTCCTATTTACTGTCCCCTGAGGATGTCATGCCTTTACCCAAAGAAGTACGAACAACGCAGCGGGTAACAAAGCGTAAAAAAATTAGTTATTCAATAAAAAAGAAAATAGAAAAATCTATGCAAAAGAAAAGTAACGAAGAGTTTAGAAGTTAAATCTCAAAAAATTACGTCTAAAAAAAATCAACTTGAAAATTTATTACTTGACGACGACGACGATTTATTAAATTACCTAAACCCTACCTCACCCCAATAGGTGCCCCACTTTACCCTCTATGGTGGGGCATACGACTTTTGGCGGAAATGTTTTTTTTATCGAAGATTTAGGGAATGAGCCAACAAATATATCATTGCACATGATGGACGACATGCTATGTTAGCAATTTAAACTGATAAAGCACTTCTTTAACAAAACTATTCTGTTTTAAAAACTGACAAACCTTAAGTACCCCACAATGTCCCAGTCTCCCCTACTGCCTCCGAAAGAATTTTTAACTGACATTTTACAAGAAAAACTTGCTTGGCGTACCTATATTTTTGCGTATTCAACATGACGCAACAACGCAGTTTTTGATAAAATTATTATTTTTAGGATGGAGATATCTTTGGTACACACTTAAATAAGAAATTAAAGTTTTTGTAAAAAATTTAAAAATTAAACAAATTCAAGACCTTTTAATTTAAAAAATATTACAATTTAATTCGAGAGTTTTATCGATGTAGTTTTGCTGGAAGCACCTATAGGCGTTTTATATGCAGTAACTGTATCTATTCCAGAGTAGCTTCTCAAATATCTTCCATTACCCCTTACTATGGCTCATCTTCACTAACGTAACTACTATCCCGATTTCGGGTTTTGTTGTTCCAAGAGTTTGCTTCGCTAAATGAAATAGTATGAAAATATTTAACTTTGTTACACTGGAGGGAAATTAATATTGAAGGAAACTATAATCAATAAGAAAATATTATATAAATGAGTCAAGGGTTGAGTTGAACTCAGATTCTCTTAATTAAGACCCTTGATCATATTGACATTTTTTAAATTTTTATATACAGTTTGACCCATTTCTTTGCGACTCACCCCTGTAAAATATTTATTTATTGTGCGATTTTAACCGGATTTGTTTTAAAGTGTAGATCCTATACTAAATTTTATTGAAAAATTTTAAGTGGAAAAATGCACAATAATAACTACAAAAATTTATTCTGTCAAGTTAAAAAAAACATTAAAATAAAATTAAACTAATAGTAACATGATATACCATGTATACTATTACTATAAGTTTAATTTTATTTCAATGTTTTTTCATGGATAACTTAATTGACTCAATTGACCGAATAAATTTTTGTAGTTACTATTGTGCATTTTTCTACTTAAAATTTTTCAATAAAATTTAGTAAAGGGTCGTTTTGAGGGGTGGGGAATCCAGTACCGTGCTTAGATTTTGTTTAAAAATCGAATATGAATTCTTAAAAATTTACCCTTAAAAACTGGGCCTTGTATTTTGTACAAATATGGCGTTTTTTGCTCCAAAAATACAGTTTATTAGGATCTACACTTAAAAACAAATCCGGTTAAAATCGCACAATAAATAAGTAAAGGTCTTATATCAGTTGAATCGCTAAGATTGATATCTGTTGAGATATAAAGCGTTTACATTGACATTTTATGAAATTTTCAGGATTTTCGTACCAAACTTTTCAACAAGATTTTAAGTGGGGAGTGAAAAAAAGCAAGTAATCAAAATTTAAGTTGTTTTATTTGGCCAGTGTTATCACGAGGTCCTTTTTATCGACGAATAGTTTTCGTATTACCTTCAATAAATTAACCTGTTGCCTCTTTAATTAACAACGTAATTTAGTTTGTGGAGTATTTAGGTTTATTGCAAATTAGTTTTTAATTATTCAGGCTTTATGAGACCTGCCTGTTTATTTATTCATTAAATTGCCACACTGGTTATCCTGTAGGTATACTATATACCGTATGCATAATAATCTTAGTTTCATAGTTAAAAATGGAAAAGTGTTTATTACAAAAAAAAACTGGTTTTCCGATGTGCTCGTTTTCGTTTTAAAAAATTTTTGTTAAATATGCAACCTAAAGTAACGAAACGACCAAAGCAGTCGACGTAGTATAAATAGTACATTATCTAAGAGACTAAGAAAGCGCTTAAATTATATATAATGCTATAGCAGCTATATTGTACGGCGGTGCATAATAATAATTTGACTTTTAAACTGCTTACAAATATAAAGTATTTTTATATAGGCTTAATTACAAGTGGTATAAAATGTATAGGTACCATTAAAATCTGTCAAAAATGACTAATTTAATAGTTATTAGTGGCTGCTTTTTCACTTGTACCATGGTTATCGATGGAATACCATGGTATCCCAAATTTAACAGCCAATTCTTATGTAAAATTGTCCCCTGAATCCGAAAATACCGTCAAAAATTATGAAAGTGGAGCAGTTTTTGAGATATAGTCAATTCCATATTAAATGGAATGGTATCCCATGGTTAACCATGGTACAAGTGAAAAAGCAGCCACTAATAACAATTAAATTAGTAATTTTTGACTAATTCATTTTTAGAGAGTAAACATAAAAAAATTGACTAAAGATTAATGGACAAGTTTTTAATTATTCCTTTATTAATTAGGAA